ATATTTTATATAGGTTATTGACAAGCTCATAGGCCATTTTCGAGATGTTTTTCAAATATACTTTTATATGCTAGTTTTTAATTATATATCTAAATAACTTCTTATATTATTTATTATTATTGGTTTGTTTTTTTTCAGATATTATTAATTTATCAGCTACCGGTTAACTTATCAAATCAAAATTAGTTTTTTAATTAAAAACTAACTTTTTAGATAGTTTGTCAAACACGCCTAGAGACTTGAGGTTTTTTTATTTTTTTTTTACTTGATCACGTTGATAGGTTAGGTATTTATATTTGAGAGTAAATTATATGAATCGTCTCTCGTTCAGTGTTAAAAAGCACGTTTAATCTCTATTTTCAAAAGTTAATTAGGGTCGTCTCTCGTTTGTTTAAAACTTGCACATTTTATACATAAAAAAATAAATAAAAAACTATTTTCCCTCAACATTTTCTTTCTTAGTTTTCTTTTATTTATTTATCAATTTTTAGATTAAAAATAAATAATTAATTAAATATCTCCGCCTACCCCTCTCCCTTCCCTTTCCCCAGCTACCCTCTTTCTCGCTTACTCGACAACCATTCGTACTCCTCGCCATTTTCACCCTCTCTATCGCATCCCCCCCATTTATCTCTCTTGCCAAAAAAATGTAATTTATGGTATGATTATTCATTGAATCCATAAAATGAAAACAAAATGTTATAGAGGCTTAAGTTATAGGGTTTGATTTAACTAACTTCACCTCCACATAAAACCACATCTCCCCCTCTTGTTTGATTCTTTGAATATGAAGTTTTGGTGTGTAATTTCCTTTTCCGATATTGTTTGTGTGTAGCTTAAGTTATGGGGTTCAATTGTGAATGTGAAACTAAAAAGTTTTTGTCCAGGGTTCGTAAGAGAGGGTGGGGTGGCATGGCTGAAAGTCTAGGGCCTCCAAATTTTTTGGGGCCCATTTTTCATATATCAACTTATATTATTTTAGAAAAAAATAATTTTGGAATTAAGTCGTCGCAAACAAATGCAAAAAGGGACTTACATTTTTTATTTTGTCTGGGCCTCAAATCAGCTTCAATCGCCCTTGTTTTTTTCCGAAGAAGACGTGCACCATATTCCTAAGAAGAAGCTCTAGAATGACGACCACTACCATCTATATGATTTTGATTTCGACTTCAAATTCTAGAACCATTTTCGATTTTGATTTTGATTTCTGGAACCAATTTCAGTTTCTTTTTTATCTTGGTTTGGTTTGGTACTCATTATAAGTGGTTGTTGGTGGTAAAGGGTGGTTCTTAGAAGAGATCGAGACTGGAGAAGAATGGTGTTGATGAGATCTAGAGTTTCTGAACATCCTTTTCTAGTGGCATCAGGGGTGACGAGATGTAGCGATGGTAGCCTAGAGGTTATTGACAACAATATGCTTTGGTAGTGTTTATACATGAGGGTGGCGATGGTGAAGGAGGTAATGGCGGCAATGTTATGTTTTCATGAAGGTGAAGGCTCGAAGAGGTGTTATGATGTTTATACATGAGAGTGGCGATGGTGAAGGCGGTGATTGTGATGATGTTATGTTTTCATAAAGGTGAAGGTTCCAAAAGGAGTACCTTGATCCGAGAGAGAGAGAGAGAGAGAGAGAGAGAGAGAGAGGGACGGTGGGAAGAGGGTTGTGGTATGTCAATGGTGGTGGGCGGTGATCCGACATTTTGATGGTGTTCTAAGAGAAATAAGAAACATAATAGGTAGTTGGAGGTGGTCACTAGTGGTGGTGGTTTTGTAGATTGTGACGAGGATGTTGTATGTTTTCAATTGGGAGGAAAATGGGTGATAGATATATGGGCTATAATTTATGTTTTTTTTTAATACAAAATGAATTATAAATAAATTAAAAATAAATTAATAAGGATAGTATAGTCATTCTACATCTTGTAAAAGATAAAGTGTGTAAATTTAAATCAACGAGGAATGAAGTATCCAAGTTTAAAACATTCAATAGACGGTTCGTATTAATTTTTTTAAATTCATTTCAGGAGTGTAAAGGGTGTTTAATTGTTTATGACAAATTTAAGTTAGGTAAATTTGAGATATATCCATGATAAGATCTAGTCTTGAAAAATGAGTTGAAATCAAAATAAAGGATTAAAAATGTAAAGAAATCAGCGCTACTCAAATGTTTTGATTTGACTTGAACTTTCATAACTTGTCAAATAATCCCAATAATTTCCTTTTTCATGTCAAATTCTGTACTTTCATAAGTTGTACTTTCATAATTGTATTTTACCCCCTCGTGCTTTATATTTTCTCTTTGTCATTTTTGTTATCAACTAAATTCCTAAAATACAATATTATTCCCTAAAAATCATAATTTAGGATATTTGACTTATTAAATTGATTATCAAAACACGTAGGTGTTACATTAAAGGTTTCAATTTTATAATGGAAAATGACTTATATGGGTAAAGTATGTTTCAAAATCGTTTAAAAAGTATCATTTAAATTTGGTGTATCCAAAAAACACTATATAAATAAAGCATTTGTACAAAGAACAACAGAGAATTACATTCTTTGTTCAAATTTGACTTTGTGGTAACCGGCACTTACAAATAAAAAATAAGTAAAGGAAAAAAAAACAAGAGGGAATGACTCAAAGGGGTAACTATGTTTCAAAATCGTTCATAAAACACCATCCAAGTTTGGTATATTCAAAAAACATCATCCAAGTAAACTTTTTGTATAAAAAAAATCAACAAACTATATGTTTTGTTCAAATATTACTCACTGGTAACTAGCTCTTACAGGTTAAATGATGATTTACCTTAACTATTATGACATGACATAATAATTATTGACAAAACAATAAATGATATATTCCTCTTTTAAAAACCGATTTAGGGTTTCTTCATGAACGAATGACTTCTTCTTCTAAATTGATGCTCTTGAACTCAAATCCAAAACCCTAATTCTTGACTTAAAGCAAAAAGGGATCCTTTACCCTTGCCTCAATGGGCCTCCCTCCCCCTAAGGAACAAATTCATAAAAAGCCCAAAAAGGCATCCAAGCCCAACTACAAGGCCTCTAAGGCCCAATATGGCCCAAGAACCCCCAACATGGCCTTAAGCCCAAAAAATGACATGTTACAATCAGATAGGCCTGAGGCCTAACTTAAACAAGTCCATGCATACGCCTAACATATGCTGAAGCCTCTGCAATCCAGATGTCGAGCCAATACGTCCGGTGTACTCCTAGCATACGCCCAACGTACTCGGCTAGGGTCAAGAACCGCTAATATTCCGAATGCCATAACTTCTTCATTCTAAGTCCGATTTCGTCATTTTTTTATATCCACGGGGGCTAATTAGGCATCTGACAGCCATACCGAGGGTTACGGCCTTCAGATTGTGATTCTTAGTGTTACCTTAATGCTAAATTAGATTACGTCATTCTAGGGTCCAACCGAGGGTTATGGCCTTCAGAAACGAAATCGCAATCTAATTTGGACCCTGACATAGCTCTCTGATGCCTAAATTAGATTGTGATTCTTAGTGTTACCTTAATGTTATGTATGATATCTCTTTTTTTCCTTACCTTACTTTGCCCGGAATATCATGTCTTTGGGGTATTTAAAGACTGCTTAGAAGAGTTTATAGTCTCGACCAGTCCTTCATTTTTTATCCGGTCTACAGACATGCATGTCTCTTGTCCTTTCCTTATTATTTTATTATTTTGTACCATTTCTTTTGCGTGTTTCCTGGGATATGGTTCCGATACTTGTGCACGATGTATTCGAATTTATATTTGTTCGTAACAATTCGTGGTGTCTGTCACGCCCATTTGGTGATGGATAACGTAGGTTGTGGGGACCGAGTGTTGGATTTGTGTTGGAGCCCAAGAGAATATTAGTAAGTATCAGTTCGATCCTTTATGAAGTTTGGGTTTATGTTAAGGCAAGGGAGAGTTCATAGAAGTGTAGAGCTTCTCGTTTCCTTCTCGTGGATATAAAGAATGACGAAATCGGACTTAGAATGAAGAAGTTATGGCATTCAGAAGATTGAATGTTCTTGACTCTAGTCGAGTACGTTGGGCGTGCTGGCTCGAAATCCGGATCACAGAGGCTTCATTATATGTTGGGCGTATGTATGGACTTGTTTAAGTTAGGCCTCGGGCCTATCTGATTGTAACATGTCATTTTTTGGGCTTAAGGACATGTTAGGGGTTCTTGGGCCATATTGGGCCTTAGAGGCCTTGTAGTTGGGCTTGGATGCCTTTTTGGGCTTTTATGGATTTGGATCTTAGGGGGGAGGAGGCCCATTAAGGTAGGGGTAAAGGTGTCATTTCTGCCTTAAGTCAAGAATTAGGGTTTTAGACTTGAGTTCGAGACCATCACTTTAGAAGAAGAAGAGCAATCATAGGAGAAGAAGAAGTCATTCGATCATGAAGAAACCCTAAATCGATTTTTAAAGGAGGAATATATCATTTATTGTTTTGTCAATCATTATTATCCCATGTCATAATAGTTAAGTCAAGTCATCATTTAACTTGTAAGGGCTAGTTACCGATGGATAATATTTAAACAAAACATATAGTTTGTTGGTGTTTTTTGTATAAAAAGTTTACTTAGATGGTGTTTTTTGAACATATCAAACTTGGATGGTGTTTTTTGAACGATTTTGAAACATAGTTCCCCCTTTGAGTCATTTCCTCTTGTTTTTCTCCTTTACTTATTTTTTGCCGGTAATTACCGGTTACCACAAGGTCAAATTTGAACAAAGAATGCATTTCGTTCGTGTTTTTTGTACAAATACTTTACTTGGATGGTATTTTTTGGATAAATTCAAACTTGAATGGTATTTTTTGAACAATTTTAAAACATGGTTACCCATATAAGTCATTTTCCCATTTTATAACTACCTGTAATTTCAATGATTTATTTGTTTAAAAAAAAAAAAAAAAGGGTAAAAAACTCAACCATAGTGGCATAGGACATGAACACCCGATTCAGTAGCATCAGAAGTCCAATAAGTCTAATCTCTATTAACTTACGATGTTAAAAAGACAACACTTTTGAATTTATCACCACAATGCAAAACTACAGATTCATGGAGAAGGCTCCATCTTCCTTGAGGCACACTAAACTCTGAAAAACACATGAAAATGCAAGAAAAGCAATGAGATTTGTTTCAAGGAAGATGATCAGAAGTCAAGAAAGATGCAAAACGCCAGAATTGAAGCAACTCTCTTAACTGCATAACATCCATCACTGTATAACATTTCACTCCACATCGATCACTGTATAACAAATAGGTTTTGCAATTAATTTGCACTAAACTTAAACAATTTGAAGAACCAAATCCTGTACAGAATCGCTTTATATACCCAAATCCCTAAATTATCAAACAATCAAACATGAAGTTTGAAGAACCCCAATCTAATTACCTTATTAGATCATGGATTGATAATTCGAATTTGTTCGATTCCCTAAAATCAAGATCCTCCCGATCTCATAACTCAAGAAAGCATCGATGCAAGCATATTGCACCTGCGCTGGATTCAGCCGCCGATTATCCCAATTACTCATCGTAACAGCCTTCCGCTTGCTCATCTCCTTCCGAAGAACCTTTCTCGTCAATTGTTTCAACCCTGCATTCTTAAGCTCCTTCACACGGTACTTCTTCGCAGCAATCAACCTTAAATCAACCGCCGTCGCAACTACAAGGAAGTAATCATCCGTAAGCTTCTTCACGTCTTCATCGATTCCGACGCCGGTGAAAGTGTAGGAGGGATTTCTGAGGAAGTTACAGAGCGACCAAGGGATAATTAGGGAGTGGAGGATTTGGAAAATCAGGCATCTGCGTCCCACGCACAGTTGGAGTGTCGCCACAGGGTTTTTGCAGTCGCGGCAGTAGTTAGGACGCCACTCGAGATCGAGGCCGACGATGAGGGAGCTGAGACTGTGGCTGTGGAGGCGTTCGATGTCGGAGATCCACGTGTCAACGTAAGAGGGTGTGCTTGTGACTATGGTTAAAATCGTTTCTGTGAAGAATTTGACGTCATATAGGCGGTGGGTGCCATCGTTGGGTCCATGATCCACGATGCTCATAGGCCTCGCCATGTCTATTGGTTCTGTGAGAGGGTTTAAAGCAAATAAAGGAGATGGGAGAAAGGACTATTCTTTGATTTCTTTCATACCGTACGAGATTAGAATAGATGGGTTACTTCAATTTCAAAGTGTTTTGAAAATGATTTTTGACTTACTTCTTGATTTATTGGTTTTTTTTTTTAAAGCAAATAAATTAAAAAGGTGTTTGGCAAATAGTAATTTTATAGGAAAAGAAAATGGCTTCTTTCAAAAAGCCATAAATTTTTGGTTTTCTCAAAAAGTCAATACTTTCAGATGTAATCTTAAATACGTCATTAAAACAACTTAAGAGCTGTTTGAATTATTAAGATCTGAACTTCTAAGATGTCTGAATTTTTATCATGCTGTTTGGTTGGAACATCTGAATTACTGTCTGAATTATAAAAATAACCCTTTTACCTTTTGTATTTTTTTTTCCGAATTCATTGTTTCTATTTATAAAATAACCGAACCAGCTTCTTGAATAATTATAAAAATACATACAAGCACTATACAAAATCCAAATTAAACAAAAATCAAAATTAAACATAAATATTTGACAAATCTATCCAATAAAGAAATCAATAGAAGTACATTGTTATTTCTTAGCAAAATTAAACATAAATATTTGACAACACAACTCTTTGTAAGTTTTTTCTTTCCTACCCCTGCATGTTCCTTCTCTTCTTGCATAATCATTCTCCATGCTCCATCTAATTTGAATTTACAATTGAAAAAGAAGCATAGCTCAAAAGTTTATGCAAGCAAAGACACAAAAACTTTATTTGGTGCAGGGACCTTATTGGAATCAACTTGATTGAACTGAAAAGTGAGATATCAAGCACAAATTCCCATTTTTCCTAATTTTTATTTTTCTCTGTGTTCAATTTCATAAATTTGCAATCATTTCAAAAGTGACCCACAATCCTTATTCCTATGATCTTAACCAAAATTCTCATACAAAAACGAAATTGAATGTCTCTTAAGAAGGAGAAAATGCCTACGGGAATAGAATCAGTAAATGACAAACCTAATTTGTTCTCTATGGGATTTTAGACAATATGTGATTTTGTTAACACATTACGTTGAGAACAGAATGAGAAAAAACCTTACCAAGAGCTGTTGTCGACTACTTTAAGGGAGCTAGAGGGTGGTGCTCCCGACGGCGTTAGCGGAGGCGGCGTCGCGGGAGGAGGCGGTCGCTTGCTGGTGGAGAAGGGGCTGCAGAAATCGTTTTTGTAGGAGGTGGAATCGATGTTGTCGAGGTGGAGCTCGAGTGTTGTGGCGCTGCGTCAGAGTTGTCACCATAGGGATGACAAAAAAACCCGAACCCGACGGGGAAACCCGAAACCCGATTATTTCTGGTCGAGTAACAGGTCGCTATCGGGTTTTTTATCGGGTTCGTGGCAGGGAGTGAGTTATCCTCGCCCGACCCGACCCACCCCGATATATATATATATATATATATATATATATATATATATATATATATATATATATATATATATATATATATATATATATATATATATATAGAGAGAGAGAGAGAGAGAGAGAGAAAGAGAGAGAGAGAGAGAGAGAGAGAGAGACAATCTTCTTAGTTATTAACAATCCGGTGTGAATGGTCTTTTTTTATGTTTTGACATATTACACTAAACTTAAATCAAATAAGTTTTAGTATAACGTCGAGTTAATTTTATTAAAGTGATTCATCATATATTTTTAATTTAAAAGGGAGGGTAGACCATGTATTTTTTTAAGACATCGGGGTACCCTTAAACGGAATAAGGATTTCGTTATGAATTATTTTAAACCCGATAAGATACCCGAAACCCGACGGGAAAACCCGAACCCAACGGGGCACCACGATAAGATACCCGAAAGATATCGGGGCGGGTTTGGGAAACCATGACCCGCCCTGAACCCGCCCCATTGCCATTCCTAGTCACCGGAGAAGAAGACACCGGCGACTGTTATGGCGGGGAGGGAAAACACAGCTGGAGGCGATGTCGCTGTTGTACGTCGATGAGAGGAAAGGTCGAGGAGGCGAGGTGTTAAGAAGAATAGAAAAAGCGAGACATGCTAGGGCATTTGTGTCTTTATTTTTCTCAGACGCACCTTCAAGTCTGAAATTTTAAGAGTCATTTAATAAATGTAGAGGTAGAAATAAGAGGCTACCAAACACTCAAGTGTGGGTTATCTTTTGAACCAAAAGTTTATCACCTAAATACCCTATATCCACAACACCTTTTTTTAACATGTTTAAGTGGTAGATAATTTTTATTATATCAAACTCACAAAACTTTTAAATTTCTATTTTCGATTGACTTATCCAAGTAAATAAATCGTATACAACAATTGCAAAAATGACATATACATTAAAGCTCATTTTGAACCACTAAACTCCAAACCCTTAAATAAAAATTCAAACTCCTAAACTATAAATTGTATATATGTATTGAAGAATGTGCAATTTTCTTACATTTCATCATTAAAAATTATCCCAACATGCTTTTATAATAAGCGAAGACATAAATTTTTTATTTTCTTATAAAAACAACATATTTTTAATTTTAAGGTAAAACAACATAATTTTATTGTAAATCTAAAATAGTTGTTCTAAAAAAAATTCATCATCACCTCCAACATTATCCCTCGAAAAGAAACTATTTGATGTCATGATTTGCACTCCAGCCTTAGAATGTCGCTTCTTTGCTATTTGATTATAAAGTTGTGGTTAACAATAAATATGACATCACTAACTGATATGTGGTTCTCGAACTTTCTATGAAGGGCCGGTGATAGAGTTGAAGAAACAGTGGACAAAAGCTTTATTTTCATCACTGATGACATTGTCATTCCATACACTGATAAAAAGAATCATTGGATGCTTTGATTGATGAAATATTTCCATCATTGGAATTCAATAGGTTTGAATTAGATTATATCATCTCGTAGGGAATATTATCCACAAAAAATAATAGTGTCAATGAGATTAACGATTACTTGATCGATCGATTCCACAGAGAAGAGATAATTTACCATAGTTCGATGAAGCCATAAATGATAAAAATGGCTTCTATCCGTTGTATTCTTGAACTCGCTCATTGTTAGTGGTTTATCCCCTCATTACCTTCGGGTGAAAGTTAGATGCTCGATCATATTGTTACAGTATATTGACCCAACAAATGGATTATGTTACATCACCCGATTGATATGCAAAAGCTTTCAGTAGAATGTCATTGATACATAAATAGTTGTTGGTCAACATGCTCACAAAAATTTACCAAAGCTTCATCTATCTCTGTCTGATGATGACATGTTCCCATTCCAGCTGAAGAGGAAACAATTTCCTATTCGATTATGCTTTGCGATGATACAATAAAGCTCGGGACAAATAATTCCGAGTATAAGTATTTATCTTCTAGACTCAATATTCTAGCATGACCAACTTTATGTTGCATTATAAAGAGGGGTCTCACGTTGCAATCCAAAAGTGTTAGTGAAACCTACCGAAAATTTCAAAGATGATGGAGTTTATACAACAAACATGGTATATAAAGAAGTGTTGCAAGATTAATAATGTATTAGCAGTTATGTGTTTTTACACATTTCTATATTAGGTGTATCTTAAATAGTTCTATTATTTTTGTTTAAACGACTTACAAAATTTATATTTTGTGTCTGACTGAACCGTTTATAACCGATATATGACAATAGAATCCAACTTTGGTTTATTTTTGACATGAATCATGTCAAAAATAACGCCAAAGTTGGATTCTGTTGTCTTGAACATTTACTTTCTTTTGGAACATAACATTTTTGTAAAAGAAACATATCGTCGTAAAAACTATTCGCCGCCGCCGCTTTGCGCGGGTAATAAGTAATATATATATATATATATATATATATATATATATATATATATATATATATATATATATATATATATAATATATATATATATAGACTTAGGTTATTCTATTCAACGTAATTATTGTATTATTATATGCATAAATGTGGTCCAATCATTTTTCTTATTTTAAGAAAGTGATTAATAGATATTATTTAATTAAATATAATTGAAAAATGTCATCTAATTTAACTAGAAGGGTATTTTAGTCAGTTAACATATATTTAATAAAGGAAATTTGCATATTTTACGGGATCAAAGATTCAATTAATTTTAACAATCCAATTTTACAAATTATAAGGTTTTTATTTCGGACATTCTGACAGAATATGTTTGACTATGTTCAAAAATAACAAAATTTCTTGTAGAATAACAAAATTCTCAAACCATCAATTGAAGAATTAAATCAAAAATTACATTAATTCTTATAGAATACATGTAACAATTTCTAAGAATTACATTTATTTTTGAAGAATAAAATTAACAAAAAAAATTCAAATCTAAAAAAAGAAAAAAAAATCTAACAAAAACACTAATACATTCTAAAAGAATAATGTTGCTAAGAGGCGTTGTTCAAATTTCGTGGTCCGTTCTTCAAGCATCAGCTTCTGTAGAAACAAATATAATGAATAAATTAGTGAGAAAATATTCATACTCCATTCCAACAAAATTGGAATTCGTGATTCCATTCTGATAAAATTGGAATTCATTTACCAATAATTATATTCATTCGGGGGATTCTAAACAGAATATGTTAATGATTATCATAAAAAACATTCTTTTCTGATAGAATGCTATAAACGAAGATATACTATTTAGTTGAAGCATTTTAGCGAGCACTTGGTGTGCATGAAAACAACTTTCAATTCAGTTGAAGCATTCATCTGTCAAATAAGCAACCAAAACAACCATTTATGTTAAATCTCGTTCCCCTCTTTATCTAAACTTCACCTTTATACTTCCATTTATGTTAATTATACAAAAGAAAAATAAATTAATTCCTTGTTTTGTGACATCTAAACCACAAAATTACAAAACACATCAATCTATGTCCAATTATAAACACATAAAACATTCAAAT